CTAGGGGACATTTTCCACATCACCACTCATTGTGGATATTAGAGCTATCCAAATGTGAAGAGAAAAAATAAAAATGCGAGGTCTGTGTAAAAGTAATATAGATGATACACATTTATGTGACCTGCTCGCCATATGTGCTTAATGACCATGGGGTAGAACAATGCTGCATATTCATTAGGCAAATTGCCTGTTGCAGGTTGGGATCCAAGGTGCTGAGATAGGGATTAGTGTGCAGGAGGTTTATCAGGGAGTGCTCTTGGACTAACACAATCAACACCAAAGGAAGCAGCAGTCAAGAAATCAGATGACACATTTCACTGGGAAATCTGCTGCAAGAGACCTCTTTAAAGTGCTGAAGAGCAAAGATGTCTCTTTGAAGACTAAGGTGCACCTAACCCAAGCCATGGTGTTTTCAATCACCTCATATGCATGTGAAAGCTGGACAATGAACAAGGAGGATAGAAAAAGAGTTGATGCTTTTGAGTTGTGGTGTTGGTGAAGAATACTGAAAGCACCATGGACTGTCAGAAGGAAAAATCTATCCTGGAAGAAGTGCAGATGGAATGCTCCTTGGAAGTAAGAATGGCCAGACTTCGTCTCACCTACTTTGGTCATGTTGTCAGAAGGGACCTTTCCCTGGAGAATGATACCATGCTTGATAAAGTGGAGGGTCAGTGAAAAAGAGGAAGACCCTCAACCAGATGGATTGACACAGTGGCTGTGACGATGGGCTAGAGTATAGCAAGGATTATGAGGCTAGTGTAGTATCAGGCAATGTTTCATTCTGTTGTAGGTAGGGTCACTATGAGTCAGAGCCAAATGGATGGCACCTAACAACAACAACAACGTGGATTAACACCTGTGGAGGGGGATGTGGGGTAGGAGGAAGCAGGAGTGGATAAAGGGAGAAGTGGAACTTCCATGCAGGTTCAATGGACATCTCAGCCAATCCTGTGGGGAGTTGTGAAGGTGGGAGGGCATTTCAGAGCTGTGTCTAGTTGGGGCATTAGGACTGGGTTTGTACCCCTATGCTGACCAGTCACTAGATGCTGTACAGGGTAGATTAACCAGTAAACACGGTACACACAGATGTATAATGAGCAAGGTACACACAGGCTTACTTGTGTTTAGTTATTACTCAGTAGTGTACAATTTCACATTGGTTTTACCACATCTTTGATGTGAAAGATTACTAAGTAAACACAATTAATCCTGTATGTACCTTGCTTGTTGGCCAGTCCGTCCTTGGCAGTGGCCCTGCAGCGGGGGTATGTGTGGCTTCAGGCAAGGGGCTCTCTTCAGCTGAGGCAATCCCCATAGGAGACTAAGACATTCAGATCTGGGGTTGGGGCAGCTTTTACAAAGGGGCTGCCGCCAGACACGGAGGGATTTTAGAAGGGTGGGTACATACTGACCGCAGGGCAAACTCTCCCAGGAGACAGGAGAGTAACTGAGGATAATGATTTATCCTAGAGATTTAGCTGTGTTGCTCGAAACTCGAGCTGTTCCCAGAAGGCTTTACCAATGGGCTGGAATCTGGTGTGTGTGTGTGTGGGGGGGGGTATGTACACAGAGGTTACAGTGGCACTCTTCTTTTCCAGTTTGAAGAACTTAAACTGGTTGCCCTCCAGTCCACCCGGTTTATGGTGACCCTCCATGTACAGAATAGAATTGTGCTCCATAGGGTTTCATGGCTGTGAACTTTCGGAAGCAGATAGCCAGGATTTTCTTCCAAGGCACCTCTGGGTAGGTTCAAACTGTCAACCTTTTGCTTAGTAATGGAGCACTTACATGTTTGCACTACCCAGGGACCATGGAGGAACTACTGACTGACAAACATTGGAGGGACAGTGAAGAGCTGAGGGAAGAATGTGGACTTTGAGTCAGATGAGCTGAGGTCAAAATTCTACCACCTATCAGTTTTGTCAACCTGGGGCAAATTACATAACTTCTCCAAGCCTCAGTTTTCCTATCTGTAAAATGGCATATAGCAGGATTGTTAGGAAAATTAAACAAGATAATGTATGTGTTACTACAGCAATTTGATACAGGATTAGCTTCCCTAAGAAGGTGGGTATTTCCTCAGTTCTCTGAAAATTATAATATATGGGTAAATGATTGATATTTCAAATCTACCCTAAGAAGATATTCATTAGGGCTCATTCAGTAGTTTTTATTACTATTATGATTTTCAAGTTTTATATAATTATTTTTTAACTTTTTATTGTTATTTGGGTGAAAGTTTACAGAGCAAATTTGGTTTCCAATAATTCATACACATTTTGTTTTGTGACATTCATCGTAACCCCCACAATGTATCAGCACTCTTCCCACTTCCTTCCTGTGTTCATTTACATTCATCCTTTTTTCCCACCCCTTACTGACATCTGAGCTTTATCTCTGGGCAAATGCTGCCCTTTTGATCTCTTTTGGTTGATTGTTCTGAGGAATGTGTACCCTGGTGTTACTGTTCACCTTATGTTGTTGTTGTTATGCTCTGTCAGTGGGACCCGACTCATAGTGACTCCTCCTTGGGTTTCTGAGGTGGTATCACTACAGAAGTAGATTGCCCACCCTTCCTTCTGAGTAGTAGCTTGTGGGTTTGAACTGCCAGCTTTCTGGTTAGCAGTCAAGTATCTTAGGCACTACGTTACCAGAGCTCCCTGTTCACCTTATAGGCCTGCCTATTATTTGGTTGAAAGTTGAACCTCAGGGGTGAGTTCAGTTCTAGGCTTGAAGAATATCTAAGGGCCACAGTCTTGGGGTTCCATCAGTTTCTATCAATCAGTCCAGTAAGTCTTGTATTTTTTTTTTTTTAATTTTGTTCCACATTTTTCTTCCAGTCTATCTAGGACCTCCTATTGTGATGCCTTTCAGAGTGGTTGGCAGTGGTAGCTGGGTTTCATCTGGTTCTCCTGGTCTCAGGGTTGTTGAGGCTGGGGTTCACGTAGTCCATTAGTCCTCTGAACTAACAGTTTCCTTGCTTCATTGATTATCTTCACTCTTCTTTGCTCTGGGCAGGGAGAGACTAATAGTTTCACCTTAGACAGCCACTTATAAGCTTTTAAGACTCCAGTTGCTACTCACCAAAGTAGGATGTAGAATATTGCCTTTGTGAACTATGTTATGTCATTTGAGCTGGATGTCCCCCACAATATGTTCCTTACCTTTACCTTTCAGGGCCAGTGACTCATTTCCTCAAAGAGTTTGGTTATGGCCAAGAAATTTCAGTGTGCTTTTTTTTTTTTTTTTAAATTTTACTTATTTATTTATTTGATCTATTAAGTGTCTGAAAGTCTAATTTTAAATTAATGCTGTCTCCTTTGGGTATGCACAGAATCTGACAGTGATGGCTGGGTCAACTGAGAAGCAGACCTTGAGTAGTTAGCTCCTAATCCTCCTAAGAAAGGAAATGTCTAGTGATAAAAGGAAAAACAGTCTGAGAGGAAGACCACCCAGGTTTAGTCTCAGCTTTATCTTGTGTAGCTATATGATTGTAGACAAGATGTCTTACCTCCTCTGAGCCTCAATTTTCACCATGGGAAAAAGGCAGGGAGAGTGATCGTGTGTGTTGTCCTAGAGAATTAAAAATGCTATCATTATATTAAAAATCGTCAAGGTTAGCAAAGTTATTTTCTCCTGTTAGTTACAAAAAAAAAAAAAAAAAAAACCCAAACTCACTGGTATCTAGCCAATTCCAACTCTTAGTGACTCCCATTGGGTTTCCAAGGCTGTATATCTTTATGGAAGTAGATTATACCATCTTCCTCCCGTGGAGCAGCTGGTGGATTTGAATTGTTGACCTTCTGGTTAGCAGCCAAATGCCTTACTCACTGCACTACCAGAACTCTTTGCTAGTTACCAAAGGCATGGCAAATAGTGCAGTTCACAACCTACCTTGCTTTTGGAAACAAGAAGATTCGCAATGACTTGCTAACCTAGTGGACTTGCATTACATTGAACTTCTTAATAGCAAATGCCTCCTCCCTCAGAGGCTAGCCTCTGACAGAGATCCCTGGAACCCAAAGAGCCATAGGGGCAGTAATGACCCATCTTCTCATTCTCCTATGAAGGGTCCCATCTCTTTGATATGGACATTTTAAGATAAAAGGTTATATGCATTAGAAGGTTCCTCAAACTTAAGACACATCAGAATCCTTTGAAGGTCTTATTAAAACACAGATTGCCTGACTCTACCTAAGTTTTGGATTCAGTAGGTCCTTGGTGGTACCCAAGAATTTGCATCTCTAAAGTTCCCAGGTGATTTTGAAGCTGCTGGTCCAGGGACCACACTTTGAGAACTACAGCTCTAGATCAGTTGAAATACTCACTTAAGAGCCTGGAGAAGATAGAGCAAAGGAAAAAGCTTTTACAATCTGGTTTAAAGACTTTTAAAATTGTTTTTCTATTAAGTCACTTTAAGGACTTTCCTTTTACTCTTCTGAAAATGGAGAAGAATCTGAAATTACTGCAACATGGAAAAGGGGGAGCTTTGTAATCATTAACTGTTTAGTCCCCAAGACTTAAAAAAAAAAAAAACAAAAAAACTTACTAATGTCCAAATAATAACTCGGGTTCGTGAATGATCGAATTTGCTAAGTTTATGTATTTGAAAATAAATATCTATATACCATTTAAAATGAGTCATTCCTATGAAAGACACCTAGCCCTGAGATACTATTGATTTTATCATTTTGGAACTCTAATGGCTATTTTGGAGAGCTTGGAGCAGTGGGTAATAAGATAAATCACATAAAACTTTGCCATTGTGATGGGGGTGCTGGGTGTTGGGGAGCAGCGCTTGGAGAGGCAAAGCAACTGCCATTAAGGCAAATGACGCTGTTTCCATCTGCCTCCTCTCCTTGCCAGGTGTAGGAGCCAGAATTAGCCCTTCCTTAACTTTTTAGGGATTCCCTCCCTCCCATTTCAAGAGAACATCTTCTAATTCTTGGTTTCTTTTTCCTAAGTCAAATAAACAAATAAAACTACATACACATCCCTGGAGGAAAATGTCTGTATTAAAAGCCAAAAAAAACACAGAAGTACAAGAAGAGACGCCTACCAGGCCACGTCACTGGGTAGATCATCTTGGAGAAAAGGTTCATAAAGTTCATTTTCAGCAATAATAATATACCAGTGTTAAATCCTGCCCATGCCCCACCACCCCCCTTTTAAATAAATTAAAAAACAACAAACTTCAAATACAGCTATGTTCGGATACAAAGGACTTCTCTTACTACAGCAATAGTAATCTGATCTTTTTGTTTGTTTGTTTGTTTTACTAAAACTTTCATTTAAAATAGGTATTAAATATATAAAACAAATACACAGGATTTGGTCATTTTCTGCCATGACTATAGGGCACGTGGGTGCAGGAAAGGGGGATGCAATGGAGGGGAAAGGGCCCCATTTCCCACCTCTCTCTCTTCAAAGCTGCGGATCTCATCGTTCAGTCTTAGGGCTCACTCACATCTAGCTTTTTCGGGGCAAGAAGGGCAGCACAAACCTTGCTTTTCCAACACTCTAGGGCCTCTCTGGCGGTCCCCTCCCCGGAGGAACTAGCGGTCACCACAGCACGAAGCACACCGGCCGGGTCTCCTGGCGGGAAAGGCACCCAAGAGCGCGAACACAGGACGGACGCAGGGTGGAGCGGAGCGGGTCACTTAGTCGCCGCCCCCGAGGTGACAGCCGCGGCGGCGGCAGCAGCAGCAGCGGCGGCGGCGGCTGCCGCGGTGGTCCCCGCAGGCACTGCGGCGGGGGCGGTCGCGGAAGCGCTGGCGGTGGTCCGACGCTGCTCCATGCCGTTGGGCAGGAAACCGGCGATGATGGGCACCGGCCAGATGAGGGCGGCCACGCTCCATACGACGATGACCAGGGTCATGAAGCAGGCCACCAGCGTGGACTCGATGGGCTTGCGATTCAGCCGCCAGCCTGGCTCGCCCTGCAGCTCCTCCAGGCTGAAGTCCAGGCAGCAGAAATGGAGCGGCTCACCCTGCAGCCACAGAGGACCAGGGGGCTCGGCCGCGGGGTAGGCGGGCAGCG